AAAAAAAAATTCCTCCTCTTTTTCAGTTCATCCAAGAAATTCTAATAGAGAATACTTTTTTTCCAACGTTATAGGTATCAGTATGTTGATCTTTTATTTTATATTATACTTCTTTTTTTTTATTTTGATATTATTTTTAAATATCTATATTACAGGTTATTTTTGTGTAAAAACTATTATTATATGAAACTTTAGATACCATTTATCAGTTTTTATTGTAAATTTAATCATTTTCACAATTTGTCACACATGTCAAATAAAACAATATATATTTTAAATACCTTTTAGTGACAAATAAACAACTAAACTAAAATGTGTATTTTATAAGATCATTCCCATCACAATACATAATATTACACAGATACAAACTAGAATGAAAATATATAATGCGTAGCTTTCTAAATTATACTCTTCACAGTTTAACAGATCTCCTTAACCCCCATTTTCAATCAGATTTTTTTCACAATCAATAGGCCTTATTTCCTTATAGAGCTTGATTTCTATTAAAAATTTCATGTTAATAAAGCTTTTCATTGTTTTTTTTTTAATTTCAACCCCCCCTAAAGCCCCCATTTTAAATCAGATTTTTTTTTCAAAATCAAAAGGCTTCTTCTCCTTATAGAGGTTGATATTGAAAAATATCAAGTTGGTATAATTTTTGGTTTTTAAGTTAGGATTTTTTTTAATATTTAAAACTCCCCTTATCTCCCCAATTTATTCAGATTTTTTTCAGAATCTTCTTATAGAGCTTTATTTTTACTAAACATTTCATGTTGATATCGCTTTTCGTTTTTAATTTAGGATTTGTTTTTAACTTCAACCCATCTTAACTCGCTATTAATCAGATTTTTTCAAAATCAATAGGCTTTGTCCCCTTATAGAGCTTCTTTTTTTGCTTAATTCAAGTTGGTCATTTTTCGTTTTTGACTTATCGTGCAGACAAAACACGTGACATCAGACAACGTAAACCTATAATACTCTTTCACAGACTACTGTGTGAAGAGTAGAATAATAATATAATCAACGCTAAAACAGACACATAATAGTCTAAAAAATAAGTACACTAAAAGAATGATATATAATATGTCAGGACAGTGGCAACTATGTGCGATTTGAATAAAGCGTTCCTACTAGTCTTCTCTTAAATAAATTAGAGTTTTATGGGATCAGAGGTGAATAGCTACAACTATTTAAATCCTACCTTAATAATAGGAGGCAATATGTAGTTCAAGAAGATTAGAGGTCTAGTCTTCATCCTATTAACAATGGTGTGCCTCAAGGAATAATTTTAAGATGGATTCTATTTATTATATTTGTTAATGTCCTGCCTGGTGCAATAGAGATCAATTTTGTGTATTATTTGCCGATGACATTACTTTATTGACAAAGGAAAATCAATCGAATGGCAACAATGAAAATAAGACGAATCATTTAATAATACAGTTCATCAAATTTCTAGAGGTGTTCGACGCCCAGACAGAGAACGCGCTACGTGTGACTAAGATAGCTATTGTACAGTCTGCTAAACAAGTTATTTTAAATAGTTTTTAATATTTTTAGGTAATTAAATTTTAAAAGTGTGGAATAGTTTAGGGATTAAATTGGTCTGATTGGACTTTCTTAGAACGTTTTTAAAAGCAGCTAAAGATAGTATGTAGAATTGAAAATAATTATTATGTCATAAAAGGTGTTTTGGAATTCCTTCAACCTTTTGAAATTGAGTCAGAAAATATAAATTTTATAGGATAGCGGAAAATACCTATAATTTTTTTGTAGGCCTTTGTAAATCGTGGAAATATTTTATATTTAATTTCTACCTTATTAAGGAAAATGGTACCTATTATTAATAACGGTTGTTGCTGAAACATTACTAAAATTTTCGAAATTTTGTTTTTCTACAAAATAATAAACTATACTATTTAGAAAAAAATTTATTTCTCTTATAATTTTATAAAAAATAACAGGGGAATATTTACATTTCTTGATCTATTAAACAAAACGATAAATTATCTCGACGAATGTCACCATGTTCTAGTACGGAAGCTAGCTTTACATTTTTGTTGGTGGTTTCATGGGTTTCATATCAATTTGTTGTAATTGTAGTTTATACGTACATATACCTCTTAACACTTGTTTGCTTTATTAAAAAAGTCTGTTGTTGTGATTTACGTCGAAATAAGTCAAAAACAACTTGAAACCCCATATAAAATCAAAAAGGAGAAACGGAAAAAAATTGAGCCTGTAAATGAACACAACTCAGAAACAAAAATAGCTATCTAATAATAAAAAAATAAAATTTGATTCTTGTGCAGCTTCATCTATATCATTAACTGTTTTTGGTTTTTTAATGGTTTTTCTTGGTGATGAAAATTCCGATATCTCACGGTTATCGATTCTTTTTTTCTCTCCAGAAATGCGGACGACAGTGTTTTTAGATACTCCTGTGGCTGCAGCAACACGATCATTTACATTTTTAAATGGTATTGAAGGTGAATTAAAGTTTCCTTCTCTTCTCATAAACTCTATAACATTGACTATTATTTCGCGAGATTGACTGTTAATCACGCGGCCTCTTAATTTGCTATTAAACTCCATACTGAGGTTCTATTAAACTGTAATGAGCAAAAAACACAAACGAAAATAAAAGAAATGTTTTAGCGAAATTTACATCTGACATTTACGTCTGAATGAAATAGTGAAATACTTGATGCGCAGAGTGTACTTTCATTGCGTAAATCCGCCGGGATGCCTGTCAGTAGTGCTTTCTCTGTCTAGCCGTCGAAAGCCTCTAGAAATTTGATGAACTGTAAGTTCAGTTAATTGGGCCACTAAATGACAGCCTGTGATGTTATTAGGCATATATTTGGATACTTACCTGAACTGGGCACCTGCTCAAAACTAGCTTCGCAAATACTTGTTATTCGTCAGTTAAAATCGTGTTTACCATTTTATCTACTGAGAACAATCCATTTTTGTTTAATTCACAGTCTGATAACTTATGGAATAAGACTATGGGGTAACTCGACTAATGCATATAAAGGTTTTTATACTCCAGAAGGATGCAGTACGACTAGTCGATAACGCTCCCTGTAATACAAAGTGTCAACCAATATTTAAAAAATTGGGAATGTTGCCTCTTCCTTCATTTTATATCTATAAAATATTGGTAACACATAATAATCTAAACAAATTAAATAAGCATGTGGATGTGCATAACTGCAATACTCGTTTTGTAGTTTAATGTCAAAAACTCAATTTAAAAAATTTACTAAAGACTATTTGTTAAAATATTACTTTTACAATACTGATGAGTTCCTACAAGAACTAAAATAATACACAATTTTTTTTAATATTTTATTTAAATTTCATGTATTTATAATAATTATTGTTGTAACTCTATTTTTATAGGTTTTATAAACAATTTTAACTTGTAATGATACATTATATGATTAATGTTTGATTAATGAATGCTAATTTTTATATAATTTTATTTTTTTTTATTGATTTTATTCTTCATTTTATCCTACATGCAAAATTGTTTGCTTAACTATGAACTTAATTTAAAATGTTTATATTCGATGCATGTATGTATTTTTTGTTTTCACTCTGCATAAATGTGAAATGATTATTTTAATGTTATTTTATTTTTTATATATTTTGACTTCAAATGTAAAGTGGTCAATAAACGTTACTATACTATTATATTATTATTTTATGAATTATTTTAAAGTTTATTATTATTATTCACCGTACATTCTTGTTACGTATTAAGGCTGTTCTACCGCTTTCTGTTCGGTCGAAGTTGAGAGGAACCTAATCCATTTTATAGAATATCTTTGTACGCAACCCTCTCTTTGTTTATATAAAGACACTTGTACGTGTAATAATTCTATCTTTCTCCGTTCAGTCTAATGGGACGCCTATCTTTCTAGGTATTCATCTTCACCTGAAATGCGGGCTGGCCAAATTAGTCGGTATAATGTAACTATTGTGTTGATAGTAATTTTTTTGCAGAGAATATTTTTATTACTTCCACGATGGATTCGAAAGTTTTCTTTCTTCATCTAGTGGAATTATTTTTTAAATAAATGAGTAACCACATTTAAATTGATTTTATTTATATTCTAAGGTGAAATAATAAAGGATTTTTATACATATAATTATTGATCGTATTTTTTGTAAATAAACATTATTGTTGTTATTATTACTAATATTCGATAATATACACTTGGTATTTGCTCGAAAGCTTTGGATGGCTTTATTTATCGTATATTTAAAATAAGAAACTGATTTTTGGAAAGTGGTTTAATATATAATATAATAATATAATACATAATATAAAGTATTTGTTATTTTTTTTAATAATCGCATCAATCTCACAATTTGTAGTGTAGACGAAAAATTTTTTGAAAACTATTTTATCGTACGCATGTATATTTTATTGTTTTAATTTCATAAAAAAATATAAAGTAATAATAAGTCAAAATAAATTAAATAAAAAAAACTTTAGTTACTATTTTTAATGAAACATTTTATTTCACATAACAAAATACAATTACAAAAAAAAAAAAAAAATTACATCAATTTCTTCTTACAATTTCTTTTATTAAATGTTTTAAATAAAAATCAACTAACTTTGGTTCAGCACATAACCAAAAATGGTCACCTCTCTCAATTTTCTCAACGAACATTCCTATAAAATATAAACATTTGGCTTTCGTTATAGCCAATATAGCCAATAACCAGAATATGGACATTTAATTACAATTATATAATTTTTATTAATAATGCCGTCTGGACTTGCTCCCTCCCAAGTATGTATATTTTTCATAAATAAATAATTCACATTCTTGTACTGTTTTTCCATATTTATTTTTAATTTCTTCTATCGCAATAGATTCATGATCTTGTCCCCATTTTGTAGCAACTGATCCGTAAAAAGATGAAAATAATATGTTATTAAAGTCTTTTCTACGTAATTTTCAAACAGTTTTAAAATTTCAGGCCGTGAGCATATTACTACGATGTTCTTTCCACAGATCATTACTGGCCTGACCTCTAGTAGATACTTCAATTTTACAAATATCATCTATTGATTTTGGTAAACTATCCAAAAATTTCAGTTTGTTTTGTTCCAAAACATCGTCATCATCATTATCATCATCGCATTGAAGTCCGTAGTCCCTATCTTTAGGTGCGTCACTTTTGCGTGTTTTTAATTGAGGGCCCCTGACTTTTCTACTACATCTACGTTTGCTAATTTAAGTAACCAATCTTTGTGTGGGAATCCCAGGAACACTTTTTGACAGCTTTTTATAAAGAGTGGGAATGCAGTTCTCTTTTTTATTAAAAGAAATGGCTGCAGCTGGACACCGAACATTATATCCCCCTTTTACTGCAAAATGAATTCTCTTTCCTCCAACAAATTTGGCTACGATTGAATTGTATGTCTCTGCAGCATTATTAGTCATATTTAATAATAAACTGTGGCTGTTTTAAACCAGCCTATTACCAGCATATACAATGTCATCCATTAGTCCGCATTCTTTCATTTCTGTCACATAATCTCTGTCGTTTTGTTCTCTTTTACAAAAATATTGTGCACAGTTTGAATGATTTCCAAATGTGTGGTAAGGAGAGTTTTTAATGTCTGCAGTTAATTGCTTCACGTTCTCAACAATATCACTGGTATTTTTTCTGTGATAATTTTCAGCCGATTTAATTCCCACTCGTAACTTCAAAATCCTATTAACCAAATTTTTTTTAGTTGTGGACTTATATTTTGTTTTTTGAACTGTATTTTTTTTTTCGCAAGTTCACGCAAATTTGTGTAATAATTCCTGAGTGGATGGTTTACTTTGCGGACCATTGTTCTTCCATAGGGTCTCTCTAAGCAAATTAGTTCCGATTTCATAGAAATCGACGAACGATCCCAATTTTTTGAACATTTATGAGTTGCAGCTTTTATGTTTTTAGTTAAAGCTCGAGCACAGATAGGACAATACTTACTTTTAAAAGAAACATACAAAACTTTTTCAGTTTTCGCCCCAATAATGCAAGCCTGTAAAAAATATACCCTTTATATGTTATGTCAAATATAAAAATGTTTCTAAAGTAGACCATGGAAAAATCACGTATGACGGATTCTTTACAATTCTGTCGGTCATGGCTTACTTTAGAAACATTGTTTTTGGATCACACGTTATAATATTAAAATATAAACTTACAACAGCATTATAATTAACTTTATATGGCCGCTTAGACCATGCACCGTCAACAATTACTGCAATTAGACCATTTCCTTGTTCATCTACTTCTCCAATATCTTTTGCTAATTGCAATTCTTCCAGTCCTGGTTGTTCTATTGCCTCCCAAGCTGCTTCAAAAATACTTTTACTTACCAACTCATTATGAGCTGAGTATTGTCGAAAAGACATTGTGGGGTGTTAGTAGGTACATTAGGATTTGAAATTAGCTACAAACTCCAGTTTTCCAAAAATTGATAAAATTAAATAATAATTTTTAATTTTTATTTAAAAAACTAGGGTGTAGGTAACAAAAAAATAAAAGACTAGAGATTATTAGAGTGTGTAATATGATCTTGTTATTTTATCTATTTTTATAGTGTTTTAAGCTCTTATTATTTGGGGAGTGGGTCAGGTTATTAAACAACTCGTATCACTTTGAAAAAGAATGTTGGACGCCACTATATTTAAACTTTCTAAACTTGATAAGCGATTAATGATGAAAATATAAAAAGTAGGTAAAGACATTGAATAAATCACTGCACTAAGATTCAAATAGCAAAAAAAATTATAAATATATTTCTATACACTCTCCTAATATGGTTTATGCAAACTGACGTCTCAGTTTCAAAAACTTGTACAGAATTATATCAATAACTGATAGATACAGTGTTAAGCAAGCAAATGAAAAGAAAATGAAAAACAAAATTTATTAATATAATTCGGACACTCTCCTAAATTGGTAATTGCAAACTAGATAGTTTCAAATACTTATCCAAAATTATACTAACAAATAAAGAGGAATGTAAAGAGAAAATTATGTTAACTAGGAAATTAGGTAGAAAATACTATTAGTAACTGAATACATATTACCTAAAATTAAGGTAGCTATTATAGACAGTATTGCTTTAAAAAATAAGCAGTAGCAGACAATCAAAAGTTAGAAGGTAATGTCTGGTCTGACTAACAAATATTCCGTTGGTGTAAAAGGAAACAACTGACTACAGACTGTACTACTTGATCGTGTAGGTAATAGCAGAATAATTTGCTAGATATAATATTCTGGCCTGACAATATATATTCCATTGGTGTAAAGGAAACAATTGACTACAGACTGTATCACTTGGTCGAGTAGGTAATAGCAGAATAAAAAGCTTGATATATTCTGGCCTGACAGTAAATATGAAAAATTTAGTAATATTTTAACTTATTAAAAGGAACGGTATGGAAATCAAGACAATTGCAGAATATACTATTCACTGTAATAGGTATCATTATTAACGTTAAGTATGACTTCATTATCATCTTCAGATAAATGTAAAAAGCAATATATTTAATTAATTAAAGGTACAAAGTTTTATCACCAACCAAAAATTTTTTTACTCGATAGGCACAAAAATCAACTTTAGGTAAAAATTCAAAAACTATACACTTTTATCAGTGTATAATGAATATATAGATATATAACTAGCAAAATAATAAATATGTGTAGATAAATATGTGTAAATATGTAAAAATATGTATAAATAAACACCGAAACTAGTAGAAAATGCAGATACTCTATAAAACTTGACGATACGATACACAGATTTGTAGGAAAGGTTAAAATACTAAGTAAGAAGGTATTAGTCATGCAGTTAGTATCGTTAATCTCTGTGAAATACCTATGTGAATTAGAACGATAAGTTATAAGGAATCTATTTCAAAGTAATGAGTTGTTTAACCCAGTTGAGGCGCCATTCTGTAATACGATCTTGTTATTTTATCTATTTTTATAGTGTTATAAGCTCTTATTATTTGGGGAGTGGGTCAGGTTATTAAACAACTCGTATCACTTTGAAAAAGAATGTTGGACGCCACTATATTTAAACTTTCTAAACTTGACAAGCGATTAATGATGAAAATATAGAAATCACTAACCTTTATGATATTATAATTAAATAAGGTAGCGACCAATTCTAATTCACGGAGACTTAATTATTCAAATTTAAATGATTTATTATAACTTATCTGTGGTATAACAGGTAGCAGGTACAGGGGATTCGTATGATAGACTTGGATATCACCAACTGATAATTCTTCTTAGGTAAAGTTAAATCTCGTACACTTCTTTGATGATGCGTTAAAAGACTTTATTAAGGTAAACAAATACATAATGATATATAGAAAAAAGATAGAGGTTCAACGTTTGTAATTTATGAAATAATAAATATTAACAATAATTTAAAAAATAATCTTAATAATCGTCGTCATCAAGTGAAGCATGCATTGCCTGTGAAAGCAGACCTGTGTCAGTAATATTGTTGTAAAACTGTAACTGGCCTTGCTGAGCATTATCGTCATCGTAAGAAAGGTTTGAGCATGGGTCAGCAGCATTTTCATAAGTACTTCATGAGGAAGATAAATAAGGTCGTGATAATTGCTGGGGCTGCTGGGTATGTGATAATCGTCACCGAACAAGATACGATTGGATGTACTCCATTGATTCCAAAGCGATTGGTTCTGGTAGCTTTTTCTGCTGGCCACTTTTTTTAGCCATAATAAACTAGAAAAACTACAATCACAATCAACAAAACCCGAAACCAAACTAAAACTGGCGAGTAGATGCCGACGTCCAACGTGAAAGCACTCGTTTACACTTGCAAGTTTTGAATTTAGATAGGAATTTTTCAACACTGGCGCCAGTAATTTCAGAAGGATGCAGACTTTTTTGGTCTATGTATGCAAAAATAAAACTTGCATGCAAGTTGATGTTTACACATGCTAATTCAATTTACTGGCGCGCCAGTTTTTATAGGCGCCACTAAATCCATGCATGTGTAAACTCACCATAAGATACATGGATAGTGCTAAAATAGTGAACCGCGAAAACAGCTTTGAGTATGTTTTAATATCTACATATATTTAAATAATACCCTTTACGCATTACACCACGTAGCTATAATAAAGGCATTACTGCATTAGAATAATAACGATCATTAATATAAAAATGTTTGGGTCTTAGAAAAATCATACTAATTAAATGGTCTGTTCTTTTAATTTTTTATCTCTTTGAACCCCATCTCTGACTCAGCGCTGGCTAATAAAGTTCAAACAGCGTATTAAAACAGCGTCTTTTTTGTCACCACTGCTCGGGGTTCGACTCTTTGCGTGTAATGTATCAATTCGACTCTCCCCCTGCGATCAATGTATTGTAACAGTTTAAGAGCTAACAGCACTTACATATGCTGTCTAGTTAGAATGAAATTGGTCAGAGATACATTTGGCGGGATTTATTTCAGTTGCTATTGTTAGCAAGATGACATTTCGGTGGGGTTAGAAATCAAAACCGCGCGGGTAGTGGAACATGTAGAGTTGTAGTTGTCATTGATGATAGTTGGTTTTTAATTGATTGTTTTTAGGAATATTCAATATCAATTTGAAAGCTTTGAGTAGAACAGAAAAATAATGTACACCAAATTAAAATCGTAATGTGGGTGATAATAACAACTACAATTTTAAGGTGCGAAGGTGCAGCTGATTGTAGTGATTTATTAGTCAAAACTCGTTTTGTAACCAATCAATATTTTAGAGCACTATATTCCAATACGTAATCAAAGCGACCTTTCAAAACTAAGCTTGTTAGAACTAATGTTTCAAGTTCCAGGTTTTGAAATGGCTTTTAATATCAGATTTTTAAATAGAAAGAAATAAATAAACAACGTGGTTTTAGATTGTTATAGCTGAGTTTATTATAGAATATAAGAGAATTTTTTATTTAACTATGTTGTTTAAAATGATAAATACAATTCATTGTTACAAAATAAAAATATCATGAGATGAAAGTTACAGATAAATATGTATAAATAGAATACCCTAAATTCTTAAAAACTACTACTATAAAGATAAAAATTTCTTAGATTGAGAATTGTTACTAATCCTTAATGACTACCTACAATTTTAGTCTATATGTATATTATAAATATTACTTCTTTAAAAAGTCTCTCTTAATTATTTCTAGGAAAGTATCTTAAGTTGGTTTGACAATTTATAACACATTTATAAATTGGGCGAAATTGATCAATTTTTTTTGTTTTAAAGTGTATTTTCATTCTCAACTCAATAATCGCAACGAATTTTACACAAGAAAGTGTAGTTACAATATATAAAACATTTAAATACAATAAAATCCAAAAATATTTAAAATGTTTGCCTTTATAATGAAAATACCAACTGATTAATTTTTTACCTACAGTGGGGTCAAATTGATCACGTTTATTTAAATGAATAGAAATAACGTACAAACACTAGGAATATGATTAATTTAATCCCGACGAAATTTTATTTGGTCGGAAAAAAGTTATAATATAATTTCATGATAGGGGTGGGTGAAATTGATCAATCTATAAATTTGATTTTTGTGTAATAATAATAATAATAATAATAATAATAATAATAATAATAATAAGTTTTATTGACAAATAATAAAGTTTTATTGGCAAAGATAAAATAAAGGAACAAAACTATGATCAAACAGAACACAGAAAACACATATAGTTACAGAAAAAATAGAGGCAGGTAGGTGACTACATTTCATTAATGTCCACTATGTTCTTGAAAAAATATGCTTCTTGGCCGTCGAAATGTTTCATTTCGGGATCTGGCAGCACAGCTATTATGTCGAAGAAGTCAATTGAGAATAAATCATCCTCCACAGTTTGAAAATCTTTTTCCCCTCTACTAGAGACTTCATGCCTAATACTTCAATTTCGTCTTCGGAAATATTCTGGACCATGGCAACGTTTCTATAGTTGGTTTTCTTCCTTGAACCTCCTAATACTTTCACCAGCAAAAAACTCCCTTTTTCTACGTTATTTTCGTTTGGAGGCAGATAATCTACTTCTTCCTGGATATCTTCCATTGGTTCGTTGTCGGAATCATCGTTGGTCAGTGATTCAGGTGGACTGGATTGGCTATCTGAGTCTTCTTCGACACTCTTTAAGAGTTCGACTACAAGCTTCTGTCTTCTTATATTTCGTCTGCTTGGTACAGCTGCAAACCTTTGCTGTTGCAATTATTCAACCAGGACATTATTGACAGTTTGATCAGGTTCTTTTTCGAGGTTTGCTAGTGGAATTTTTCGCAAGACAGAGTCAGGCTCGAATGGTGCTATTCCAGTGGCTCTGAAAGACGCTAACAAGTCTTTTTTTACGGCGCCATTGGCGTCTTTCTTATCCATCTCTAGTAAAGTCGTGTTTAGCAAGTATAGAAAGTCTTTTTTGTTTATGGAAGCCGAAAGCTTATTAGCAGCTTTCCATCTAGTTAAATCGCCCCTTCATGCGATTTTAAAAGGTCAGAAAAACCCGACATACAATGATTGGGTAATTAAATATTATTTTCGGAACACATTGTTGGTAAAATGAGATGATAAGTTGTCTCCAATTAAAACTTTGTGGCCTTTCAGTCTCTTGGCATGTTGCAAAAATGAAGAAACAAACCAATCACTAAAGATTTGCGCATCCATCCAGCCATGGTGTATGCGGTTGAAACGAGAACCCGCTGCGCAGCATCTTTCGTTCCAATAGAGCGGTCCCTTTAGGCCGTTCTCGGTCCATTCTAGCCACATCTTCTCCGATTTATAGATCACGTAAGGAGGCAAGAACAAACCCGACGCGAAACCACACATTCATAACTGACGTCGAACTTTTCGTGAAGTTGCAAATACGTTGGGGGTATTTAGTGCCCCTGCGAAACAGAATTCTCTTTTGACTTTTTCAGTTTTCGTCCCAAAAATGCAAGCCTGTAAAAAATAAGTTCATTTAAAAATAAACCCTTTATATGTTATGTCAATCAAAATACGTTCGGGGTATTTAGTGCCCCTGCGAAACAGCATTCTCTTTTGACCTGGATCGTCTTGCAAGTTCGTCTCGTCCTAGTTAAAAATATGAGACGCCGGAACTCCTTGTAAGGTTGTTTGCAAATTTTCGAAATAATCTGCGACAACTTGCCGTGATACGTTGGCTCGAGATCGTTTGATGTTTGCTGCCAATTTATGGGACACATCAGCTTTATATCTACGCAAAAGAGAATATGTCCAATGTCTCCCTGGTAAGTTATTCTGAAATTTTTTATAGTGCAACCCGCAATATCTAGGTAGGTTTTGGCAAGTTGCCTAACAAAAAACAGACTGACCACCATGATAACGATTTTTTAGAGTCCCGTATGGAATTTTATACTCCTTTGATGCTTTCCGTATGCCCCACCCATGATCTACAATTTTTTCAAGGGCACGTTCTACGTTCTCGTCGATGTAGTTTTTGTAACTTTTCGCCACAATCTTTTTTAAATAAGTTCGAGGCATGGATAGATCCCTAAAACAAAAGATGAGTGTTAGTACCAAAGTCAGTTGTCCTTTTTCTTTGAAAAGTCGATAAAATTCACCCCACACCGACGATCAATTTCACCCCACACCGACGATCAATTTCACCCAACAGTTGTGATCCCCCACCCCACGACAAATTTTTTGAATTTCCGCTTTCCCACTTTAAGCATTGTCAAATTGGCAGTGTGAAATACATAACAAAACATCACAATTTACGATATTGTAGGTAAATAAACATTATTACAAACAGTTTTCAACGTACTTTGGAAAGTTCTCGATGTACCAAAAATGATGAAAATGCAGGATCACTTTACAACTTATTTTTTTTAGGAAAACTTGAATATTTTGCCGAACAGAACATACATACGTTCTTGTTGTTCATTAAACTAAATGAAACAAGGTTGCCAACTTGCAACTTTCAAACAATGCGAGCGCCAAATTCAAAAATATTGAAGTTTGAATTAGGATCAATTTCGACCTACAGAATCAATTTCACCCCATTTTACGGCACTGTTTTACATCAGTACTAGCATTAACGTTGAAATGGCTCTTTCTTTTGAGCCTTTTGTTAAGTTGAGTGAAGAGTCTAGTAACTACAGCGCTTCTTCATACACGTGGGAGTGGAATCAATCCTCTTGTTACGCAGCAAACCTCTCCGCTTTTTTTTCAACTGTTGGCTTATTCATGTCCCTATGAAAATACTTGTTTCGATTCAGCCAAGGTTCTCCCCCCTTCGTGCTAATGGTTACCTGTCTTTGAGGACATTGGACACTCGGTTTCTCATAGTGGGAAATATCTTAATATTTTACCACTTTATTTTGGAAAAAATGAATCATGATGATATTTCTCTTGCTGGCAAATCCAATTAGCTGAATGCCATAAATCCAGCCTGTTTTCAGGATTTGTTTATAAATCAAGAGTTTATTTATGCGGATAGCTTGGATTTTGTTTCTAGGAGCCAATACAATTTTTTTAATTTACTTCACTCTAAATATTCTTTCCATTATAATGAAAAATGTCGATATATTTTTTAGGGAGCATTTTTCGAAATTTCTGTATTAGGCTGGGCACGCTAAACCTTGACAAATACTTGTACCACGTCAAGGAATAAAAATAGTGTAGCAATTAATTAGTTTAGTAACTAACTATTTTAGACACTAATTAAGTTATCATAATTAGTATAGAATCTAACTAGTTTAATAACTAACAAGTTTAGCAACTGGTTACTTTAGTAACTAATTAGTTTAGTATCTAATTAGTTTAGTATCTAATTAGTTTAATGAACAATTAATTACAAAATTAGGCATTGTTTTCTAATTACTTACTAATTAGTTACTTGCCAATCGAGATCTGACTTTCTGGGCGAAAATTCCAGGTTGAAGCCTCACTAAAGAAAAATTCTTTTTCCAATATGGTATTACTATTCTATAATTTAAAAAATAAAATTGATTTGTGGTAATTATATTACAAATCCAATTTTCAAATTTGTCTTTTTTGGGTTGTAGAAAGATATACTGTCCAACTTAAGTGGTTTAACCCATATCACTGAGTATACGTTTACTACACAAATTATTTTTTCATTAAAAAAATGGACGGAATGGAAACCTGGCCAAATACTTTTTTAGCTTGCACGATTTAAGCGTCTCAGCTTCTATCTTTTATCGATTGTTCGGTGAAAAGCGGCAGTTGGTGGTCATTTGACTAAATCCCATAATGAAAGGGCATTTTGGGATCATTACTAAACCGCCACAGTGACGTCTATTGAATTTAGATAAGGAATTAGAGGAGACGAATAAAAAAATTCACCCTCCGTTCGATTCCAACGAGGGCTAAAAAATGCACGCGCTCGTCGTCGATTCCTGCTGGGTGAAATTACTTGACCTGATGTCTTTCTTTGAATTCGGTTATCGATTAAGTAATGCCGGACTGTAGGCTAACGATTGATAGAAAAAACATGTACACATTAAAAATCAATTGTCAAAATATTTTTTATCTACCAACAAAAAAAAATCTTTTATTGTAAAAGTGATATTTTTTCATAGTGAAAAATGAGTTATTTGTTTAACTAGCTTAAAAAGTATATTTATTGCAAGATTGCACATAATATATTTTCTAAAAAAGAATTGTTTTTATTTCAGATTTTATTGAAGATAAATTAACTTCAATGTCAAGAATGACATATACTACAAAAACTATTTTGTCACTTTGACAGCGATAAAAAGATGCACCCTTTTTTTATCGGGTAAAAACTCTTCCTCAATTTTCTAAGTATATAGTAGGTGCGCCTCATTTTTTATATCAAATCTAGTTTTAATTTACTATCTTCTAAACCAAAGTATATCTAGCAGGTGTACCTCACTTCAATCTGCGTCTTATTAGCAAGTAGCTAGTCAGCAATAAGGTATTAAATGGATAAGACAGTATGTAAAATAATAATAATACATAGAACATTTCTCAATAAAATAATTCTTAAAATCTGTACCAGATAAATTTAATACTAAATTTATAAAGTGGCAACCGGTTTCGACCCAAGGATCATCATAAAGCCTAAATATTTCATGGATATCGCTGTTCGTTTTTAATTTCGTTTTTTTTTTTTTTAATTTCAACCCATCTTAAACCCTATTTTTAATCAACGTTTTTTAAATCAAAATACTTTGTTTCCTTCTAAAGCTTGATTTTTGCTTAACATTTTCAAGTTATCATTTTTTGATTTTGAATTATCGTGCAGACAAAAAATGTGACATCGGACAGACTGATAAAGTAAACTTATAATGCTCTTTACAGACTATTGTGTGAAGAGTAGGATAATAATATAATCAAAGCTAAAACAATAACATAATAGCCTAAAAAATAGGTAAACTAAAAGAATGATAAAGTCAAAGTTTTGAAAATTATTTATTAGATATATCAGTACCTCGGAGATAAACTGCACTATGTCATTTTAGGCAACTGTTTAGTCGAGCAGGCTGAATGTTGGTTGGACACTTTTCGTGTCCCATATTTACATATAATAATTATATTTCGACAAGAAATGTAGTTAGCCCCAATTATTGTCACAATATGTATTGTTTACTAATAATCTAACTCTTTAAACTTTTTTTTAATATACACGAATTTTTGATTTTTGTAACATATTTCTATAACATAGTGTCATATACCTCCAACATGCCTCTATAAATAGTACGACTAACGTGAGAGTTAAAGTATTGTTTAACTTGTAAGTTTATTAAACATAATGTTATATTTTTTTAGTCAGCTTTTATACTGACATTATTCATGGTATAAGGCTTGTTCCAATAACGATCAGAAACCAGTCACTGACACCAGGATTCTGCGCAGTATATAATTTGGCAGTCTAAATATTCTACTGCGCAGAATCCTGGTGTCAATGACTAGTTTTGGATCGTTGTTGGAACAGACCTATAGTATACCCCTGGAGAGGTCTCGATAAGCTGATTTAAAATATATAATCTTCATAAAACTGCACTATGTTGACATAGTTCAGTTTACCTCCCAGGTAGATATCGGTAAATATTTAATTTATTCTTCATGATACTGGTGTCCCGAAATTAGACGGTGATATTTTAACAGCGTAATCTACATTCTAAAAT